GGCATCTATTCCTACTAGACACCAATAAAAATGTATTGATTAAACTAAGCCCTTTTTAAAAGACACACCATGCAGTCAAATCAGCATAATATTGCCACCATGATACGTCTTGTGACCATGTCGTAGCGGCATGGCGATGTGAGAATTTTGCAGCATTCATGCCGGCATGCTTGGTAGTAATATTGCCACAACGCCGAACTTGTGAATGCATATTACGCCTTGGCGCAATAGAGGGTGGTGTAATGATCACGTGTGGATTTCCTGCTGAGCTCTGGCAGAAAACTATATTGAAAACTAAAGTAAACAGCTCCAGGAGCTTCTTTCTGTTAGAGCTGGAGCTCAGATCACCCAACCATTCATGGGGATTGTGGAGGACAGACACTTTTAAGAGCTGCTTGTGAAAATGCCTTTATGAGCGCGGCTTGATTGCAACAAAAAGCAAGTTATGTCCAAGTTAAACAGCGGTCTGCTGCAGCACAGAGACCACACCCATACCCCCTTCATTCCACCATTGCATAATGTTTTGTAAAAAGGTCATTTTTGGTCACATTACCGCCACAGTCTGACCACTTATAAACAACCAAAGGCTCCCAGATGCTGGCTCAGCATTGCAGCAAATTGGTGACATTGTTTTCTAAAAGAGGTCTGAGTGACCCACACCTTTAAGCAGTGATGCAACTTTTGTCAGTACAGAAAAACTGTGAAATATTCTAGTCCTGCAAAAAGTACTTGAGCGGTGCCTATGCTCCTCACATGTGATTCTCCATCCAAGCAGTAATCTCTCCCACAACCCCCTGGTGCACTCCAAGAGCCAGTCATAACTCACCAAGGAGATGGGTGTCTAACACAAGCAAGTTGAATGTACGATTTTTGATAACGTGTTACAGTAGAGAGAGGGAAGTCTGGGCCTCTCAAATTAGGCTACTGCCCCCGTGACCCGACTCCAGATAAACGAATGAAAATGGATGGATGTTACAGTAGTGTTTATAGCAATGTAATTAGGCAGAAAAAACATTCTATTGCACTAGAGCTTGTGGTAACGGATTGTTGTGCACGTTTTGCTGGAAAGTATTATTTAAATTTTTAATGAGAAGGCTAACTGTAATGAGAAAGCTGAAGATAGGCCAGAGGAAGAAAATTAAAGATCACTTCCCCATTTCTTTTATCAAATGCAACATCCTCCACCTCCCTAATGCAATTATTTCACCAAGTTCCACAAACACAGCTGCTACCAAGGCTAAAAATAAAGTCACGTTTGCCATGTGGGCAGGATTTCAGATGATACTTTAAAACTTCAATTGGTCTTTTTTTAACCTAGGCCTAGTTTTCAGTCAGTCAGTATTAAGAGTTTATCCCTGAAGCCTGTACTTTGACCCCGCTGTCTACAACCATATCATAGGTTGCACATGACAGCAACAAAACCTGGATATTTACAACTAAAGTGCACAAGACTTGGTTAAACTCTTGTCTATTCTGTCACTTGATCACACAAATTAAATAATGTAGTCCGGTTGGCTTCACTGATCGAGTTTGTGGCACATGGGGCAGCAGTAGCTCAGGTGGTAGAGCGGGTTGCCTCATGATCGGAGGGTCATGGGTTTGATTCCAGCTCCCGCCAGGGGTATCCTTGGGCAAGACACTTCACCCAACTTGCCTGTGTTAGTGGTGGTCAGAGGGGCCGACGGCGCCAAATGGCAGCCTCGCCTCTGTCAGACCTCCCCAGGGCGGCTGTGGCTGCAAGTAGCTTACCATCACTAGCAGTGTGTGAATGTGAGAGTGTGTGAAAGTGTCTTTGGGTGTCTAGAAAAGCGCTATATAAGTTCAATACATTATTATTATTATCTTTCCGATTTCATAGCTTTGAATTTTGGTTTGATGTTAGAATCTATAGTCAAACAACAGTGGGCGGACATTATTCTGGGGCAGACTTAAACAACAAAATCCAAAAACAAATCTAATGAATTACATGACTGAAGTGACTAAAGTCCATCTTTGGCAAATCTGCTAATTATTTCCTCATATTATAATCTCATCTGTATTCACATTTAATCATCTGAGGAATGAAAAGTTGATTTAAATCTATTGATTCAACATTTTTCAGCTTCATCGGTGATGACTGGTATTCCACCATTTATTTTGTATGATACACAACTCTGCATTTGCTTCATTTACACACAGGCCATATGATGGACGGATGGATGGACGGACAGACGGATGGTCTGCGGAAAGCATGAACTAATCAGGACTTCTCCTTAAAGAATGAAGCCACCTACACCCTCTCACAGATAGGGATGGGTACCTTTGACATTTGAATCGATCCGGTACTAATTCCCGGTACCTATGAATCGATACCGGTACTTAACGGTACCAATTAACGGTACCAATTTTCGATACTTTGAGTGTTTATTATTTTCATTCTATTTTATAATTAAATATATATTTTTCTCAATATATAACAATATTTGATATATATCACGATAAATAACATTCAACTGTTTGTATTAACATCCTACTTGTAGTTTTATAAGCTGATAATTAAACTGAAGCAAACATCTTTACTGTGAACTAAATTTACTGTGTATCTTCATTCCTTTTGCCGTCTTTTTTCATTTGATTTTTCCTACTGGGAAGTTAGAATTTCCGAGGAGAAAGCGAACGCACCATTAACTGATAACGGTGGCAATGGAAGCTAACACATATCAAGCTAACGTTATCTTAAACAGTTTATTTAAGTGCTGGAGCAGATTAAAACGATGATGCCTCACACTTAGATCGTTGTCACTGGTTTCATCTTCACCCAATCACCCGTCGCATTTAGTGAAGTGAAGCCAAACTTTAGAGCGCGTTCATGTTCTTCTAGTAGGGAATTCGGAGTTCCGAGGAGAAAGTGAACGCACCATTAGCGAAACGGAAGCTAACATATCATCAAGCTAATTATATTTACCTACCAGAGCAGATTAAGATGAGGATGTCTCACTTAGATCGTTGTCGCTGGTTTCATCACACTTAGTGAAGTGGACCCAAGCTTTAGCCTGCGTTCTTTTTACCATGCTGCTCTGTTTACAACTCGCTCGCAGCGACCGACGACAAAACGCTCTTGCGCATGCGCAGCTGTCTAGGTAAGTTCTCGTTATGAAGGATGGGTACCGAAACGAGGCACCGTTTGAAATGACGTGAATCTGTGCTCGGTCGGTACTATGGAATTCGGTCGGTGCCTTAAAAAGTACCGAATTCTGTACCCATCCCTACTCACAGATGATCACAGTTCTTAATGTACCTGATCAATATAACCCTACAAATATCAGACCGATATGGTGATCTCATTGATGTACTTACATCACGTAGTTTATGGATGTGTGTGTGCATGCTTCACCAGGGTCAGACCCAGGAGCCTTAGGGGTCAGTGTGAGTGTAAACGCATCGGACATGATGTCTAGTGTTCTTCAGACACAGAAGGGAAACACCAGGCATAGAAACGGGGGCCCTGTAGCAACATGCAAGGCTTTAGGTTTACCACTATCTCTGACCCCGGGTGCAACATCCATCCTGTTTACATTTAAAATGCTTTGATTTGGAGAAAGAGTCAGGGCAAAGAGGGAAGCTCCCTTTCTTTAACAACCATTAATCAGATAATATGAACAGAAAGGAAGCAAGAGAGTTGTGACCACATTTACAAATTAATAAATAAAAAATATCATAATAAAAAATTAAATCAGGAACAAAACAGACCAAGATCTGGCAGCAGTCAGACACACGCTGTATTTTCAATATTAAGAGAATTTGCTGTGCTATATAGCTGCAAGCAGGCCAATGCAAATGAATGGCCTTTTCCTATTAGCAAGTAACCTTGGATACTTTGAGAAAGTAAACAGCAGGTGAATCCACTTTCTGAGATTGTTCCCCTTTGATGGTTTTTCCTAACAAGATGGGGAAAACAGTATGAATGATTCATCTTCTGCTCAAAATATGGCAGCTGACTCAGATTGTCAGTTTTGCTTTCCACTCCTCTCATTTAATCATGCTTACTGAAAACGCTTCATTTAGAGCAAAACAACATTGGTTTGGAGCAAGAGAACGTTTGTTTTAGTGGATTATTGACATATCTCCTTACACAAAACGGTTTATTGATTTGGGATGGTGTGTCTTATCTGATTGGCATGCAAAGAATTTGGGGGGATTGCTGCCAGACCTCAGACAGAAAAATTGATTTTCACAACCATAAGCAGTCAACACATTTTGCTTAATCAACACAAGTAACAGCCTCGGATTCAAATGATAAAAAATATACATGACCCACAGATAAGGGGTTAAAAGTTAACCACCGATGTTAAGGTGGTGACAAGTTTCTGAATTTATCATTTCTCAACAACAAAAATTGCCATTCAGCCTTTTAGCCAATGTGTCCATATAAGGATCTCTACGTCACGGCTGGCGCAGCTGATGGCTAGGATGACAGCGGGCTAATGATCCGTGAGCAGGATTTAACGCCAAATGGAACCGAGCTTAACCCGTTCGGAAACCGCACAAAATAAGTTCAGCAGTGTCGTTCAGTTCTGCCAAATCACTCAGCACTTTTAACCACAGCGGAAGCTGCACGACATCGTCAGAACGTGTCCCATTGTAAAAATATTCCACATATTCTTTTGGCTGCGCAAGGGGAATCCCTTGCAGTAATTCCATCGTTACGGGAAGTAGCTAAAGGTCGTTAGAGTGGCTATCACGCGATGTTTAGCATCGTTAAATATGAAAACTATGGCGTAAACAACAGTTGTAGAGATGTTAAGGGCTATCAGTGACTGAAATACCACTAAACTAAACGGAATAAGGGGATCGATAAGGCTGCCACATTCACAGAGTTGGTTGGTGCAGCAGCACTGGCTAGCTTGTGTTTTAGCTCGCCCACAAACCCGTTTACGATGAACGTAACGAACTCTCCGAGCTAGCTTCCGTCGTTAGCTCCAGTCGGTGTCACCTAGAGCAAATAGAAAATAACAGCTCACCGTGAATGGGATGTCATTCACACTTCCGACCGAGTAGCAGCAATCTCCGGGGTTCACAGCTCCCGTCAGCACCTGGTGCAAATGCATTTTCCTTCTTTTTTAGCAGCAGATGGGTCCTCTTTAATTATTTACAAGTCCACCCTTTCGGTTTCTCCTTCTAGCAGCGACTGGGAATTCCATCAGTAATATTAACGTCGTCCTTGGTCTGGCAGTGTCGTCTATTTCTGAAAATGGCAGGGTCGGGGAGAGGGTGTGCTCCGCCCGCTTACGTGTAATTTCATCGGGTCCTGACATCTATTTAACCACAGAAAAACGAGCGTCGCTCGCCCTTCTCTGTCAACACCATCCTCACAAATAATCGTGAGAGCCGAGGCAGTAGGATATCTGCAGCGATCCTGACATGCGCGTTCACGACGTTGTCGAAGCACGACTGAATGATCATAGATCTATGCAAACTAGAATAGAAAAACATCAACTTGTGGTTTAAAAAGGTTTACATGCACATATCATTTAGTACCAAACGCATTACTTTTGCATTGTTGTATGTTTGCGATATTATAAATCAAAATAGTTTCATTGTATGATCTAACCTCGTTCTTATAGGTTATAAAACCGTTCTATAATTACATTTCTATGTTTGGGTGGACGAACTTTAGGAATTCAGGTCATTGATCAAAAATATGGGTTGTGAGGGAGAATTGGGTTTAAGAAATAATTTTGTTTATGAACAAAGATACGTTTTCAGATGAAACAATACTAAAGTGGAATAAATAATATATAAATGTGTGTGTGTGTGTGTGTGTGTGTGTGTGTGTGTGTGTGTGTGTGTGTGTGTGTGTGTGTTCTTATTTTACCAAGAAAATCACTTAAACTTTTGGAGTTTGTTCATATTTTAGCATTTATGTTTTAGTATTGGTAACATATCTCTTACTATATGATATGTGATTGGAAACCTGCAAGCTTATAACTTTTTCAAAGATTTGCATATAAGCATTGTTTACACAAACACATGCTCTCTGATTGCATAGCCTATTTATGTGAAAGAACAATGAAATAATGCATTTATAAATATTTTAAACATATAAATGTGCATTATTAATCCTAATTAAGCATTCTAAGCTGTATTTTTCTAATCAGCCATCCAAAGGTGACTGTATTCCACACTAAAAATTCACACGTTTGTTTTAAGCAGAGGCTAGTCACATGCTAAAACGTGTGATTACTCATTAACACATGGAGGGAAGTTTTGTGAAGTCACAACACCTTCACAGGATGTTAAATTGATAGACTCAAGCACAGTTCTGTTAAATCTACAATAAAATGGAAAAAATAGTCCCCAAACACGCACTAGTACTTGTTGTCTTCTATTTATCCAGATAAAGGTGTTGGGGCTAGCAGCCCAAGCTGGGAAGCCCAGACAATTGGCCTTCCAAGCCACATTCCCCAGCTTTTCCAGTGGGAACCCAAGGTGCTCTCAGGCCAGCTTAACCATTCAATCTCTCCAGCACATTCTGGGTTTCCCCCTCCTGCTGCCTGACAAACCAAAAACACAATCACCGGTATGGCTTCCTGACCTGATCCCTCTCAAGGTAGAAGATGTTCTGGTGCACGTTCCCTTCTTTCTTGTTTACAAGACCTTGAGATACTCCTCTGTTTGAGGTAGGACCTCTTCCCTGACCCGGAGTTTGCAATCCACCAATTTCCCACTCAAGAGTGCTAACTTCAGATTTGGAGATGCTTGTCCTCATCCCAATAACTATACAAGCTGTAAACTTCCCCAAAAACAGCCAAAGGTCATGGTTCATTAAGCTACGTGGACCACATCATCCACAAAAGGCAGAAACAATATCTTCCCGTAAATTCAACACCCTCCACACCATGACACCCCAAGAAATTCTGTACATAAAAGTAGAAAAGAAAAAATAGAAAAGGCAGTCAAGCCCTCCCTGGGAATTTGTCTGACTTAGTGATGGCTATGCTGATCAGAACCACAATCAGGGTCCTTATTAAAAGGCCACTTGCCCCACTTGATCATGCCCCACAGAGAAACATAATTGTCAGCTTGCACCATTCATCGTTGTTTGAGCCAAAGTGGCCTACACTGGGGACGATGAAGGAGGACACCATTGTTAAAAACAAATCATAAAAAAGCCAGACCTGAATTTACCAAACTACATGTTGACAAGTCACAAAGTTTCTGGGCGAATGTCCTATGGACTAGATGAGACATCAATCGAACTTTTTGCAAAGGCGCATCATCATGTTCACAGAAGGAAAAATGAAGCATATCAAGAAAATAACACTGTCCCTACTGTGAAACATGGAGGAGGCTGTGTTATGATCTGGTAGCCTGGCCTGCAAGACTCCTCCTCTGTTTAATCCTGCACAGAGAAAGGGTCTGGGAACTCTCCTATTCAAATAACCCCACCCCCTGAGAATTCTAACCGAGCCAATCAGCGCTGAGTAGCGTTCGTCACACACCACAATTCCGAGTTTGTCATAAACATGGTGACTGAAGTGGAGTTCGCTGTGGCTCTTCTGTTCTAAATGACTTGGACACGTCTTTAAAACCACAACAAGTAGAAATGCTAAAAGCCTTTCTGCTAAAGGAAGATGTGTACGCCGTCGCCAAACGCCATTTTTCACTATAGCTAAAAAACTGCAGTGTTGAGGACGTCATGCACAGCGACGCTCAGTTTCTCATAAACAACGAAGACAGCGGCGGAGTTCTCTGCGGCTCTTTCCTCTGTTTTAAATTACTTGAATGTCTTTGAAACCACAACAAGTAGAAGCGCTAAAAGCATTTCTTCTAAAAATAAAAGATGTTTGCGCCGTCGCCAGATGCCTTTTTGACTACAGCAAAAAAATTACAGCGTTGCGTGGTACAGTCTGCATTTCCGTCTTTTTTTCTGATTGGTTATTTTTGAGCTGGCTAGTCCCGCCCCTCATGTGCCTCTCTGCCTGTGAGTTACCAGACTCTTTCTCTGTGCAGAATTAAACTGAGGAAGAGTCTGGCAGGGAAGGCTAATGTTCTGTGCAGGGTACAACGAAATCTCAAGACTATCAAGGGATTCTAAAGAGAAATGTGCTGGCCAGTGTCAGAAAGCTTGGTCTCAGTCACGTGTCATGGGTCTTGCAACAGGATAATGACCCAAAACACACAGCTAAAAACACCCAAGAATGGCTAAGAGAAAAACATTGAACTATTCTAAAGTGGCCTTCAGTGAGCTCTGACCTCAATCCTATTGAGCATCATTGGAAGGAGGTGAAACATGCCGTCTGGAAAAGGCGCACTTCAAACCTGAGACCACTGGAGCAGTTTGCTCATGAGAAAAGGGCCAAAATACCTGCTGATAGGTGCAGAAGTCTCATTGGCAGTTGCAGGAATCGTCTGATTGCAGTGATTGTCTCAAAAGGTTGTGCAAAAAACGATTAAGTTAGGGTATATCGTTTTAGTCCAGACCTGTTCCATGAGTAAATTTTTTTAAATAATTCCATTGACGCATGGTTGAAAAGCAACGTCTGACTTTGATTTGATTACATTTCATAGCATTTTTATTTATTACTACTTTAGTCAGATTTTTCTTTCATTGACTGAAGGGTACCAACAATTTTGTCCACGTCTTTATAAAAAAGTGTTTCTTTATTGTTTATGAGGTCCTGCTATTCCTAAACAAGTGAAATGAAAAATAAACCCCATGTTTGGAGTTTGGGAGGTTAAGGAGAGAAGATAATACAAAACTGGATCTTTAAGTCTTTTTATGGGATTTTTAGTTTCTATACACCACCATGGCCATGGTGGAGGATACTGCTCACGTATTCTAGAGAGCAGAGGGTATATGAGGCAGACTCAAATAAACTTCATGATGACAGTCTCTTATCCCCTTATCTGTTCCTGCCCATCTCACTGATGTGATTAAGAGAAGCACACAGCAGCAACACAACACTGTATATCCTCTCACTGCTGTATCCTCATGTGCAGACCCATTGTAATACTCACTGCTTGATTGCTTTTAGATAAATGATGAGAAGGTGCTATAGACGTGATATGCAACCAACACTCACAGCAGTAGCCTGGTTATTGAAACCACAGTGACATCATCAGGTGCCTTTCAGCTAAACTGGCTTGCAGCACTACAGAGCAGAATACATGAAGCAGAAACAGCATCAATATCAATAGCTGGACAAGATCAGTTGTATTTTGTCTCATAATGCAAAACTGCTCTTGCACTGAAGGAGGAGATGGATCGGTTGTTCTCCTGTGTCATCACTGTGTAATCATACTTGTGTTTGCATTTGTTGAACAGCTATTATTGCTTTGGACAGTCAGGATGTTGCAGCTGGACTGTGAAAGCAGAAATCAGCAGCAGAACCCATCACTGAGACTACGTAAGCTAGAGAGCCATCAAGCAAATTGAAATTCACTGAAATTCAGCCAGAGATGAACCTCATTCATCTTCTTAGTCTGAATAATTTTAAAGGGCAGACTGCTGCGAGGGAGTGTGACGAAGACTGTGATTGCATCCCTTGAGGCTAAAATCTCAAAACAGTTCTCTTTGACTGCAAAGGTAATCTTTCTAAAAGTATCGAATTTATTTAGACAGTTAGAAAAACTATTTTCATTAAATCAAGTGAAACCAGAGAGTTTAACACATGACCACAGATAGTTTATTTGTGTCATGTCTGCACAATTCTTGATATAATGAAAGATTTCCACTTTAAAGGCGAGGAAAATCCATCTCCTGAGTGGTAGACATGACCCCCAGTTGGCCAGGAATTATGCAATTACAGCTAAAAGAAGGGATTCATCTGCTGATGTTTTTGTGAAGAAACATGCACGAGCAAAAGTGGATCATTTAGAATCTCGAGCAGCACAGAAGCAGAGAGACTGGGCAGGACGCAGTGAGGGATAGCTAGTGTTTTGCTCAATATTGCCAAAGGGTTGGAGGAAGGTTGATGCGGGTTGATAGTGTTTGTGGTCCTTCCAGTGCCACTTGGAGACAGAGCTTTGATCTACAGAGAACAGAATTAAATGCATTATAGATTTTCTCATTTCATGGATGGCTGCTCGCTGGAGGGAGTTCCAGTCTGACCCTGAGGTGAAAAACATTCTGCTCCCAGCAACATAAAATGTAATGGACCTTCTACACTCTCCCAAATGGATGTAGCAATACTTCTGCTGAAACATAATGTTTAATAACTTTATTTGTAACCTGAAGTCAAAGAGAAGAGTAAAAGTCTTAAAAAAATGCCACAAACTCTGTTGTCCATAGTTCAGTGATGAGTTTGAACATTTAGCTACTGTCAGGAAAGATTGCTTTTGTTTTCTTACAAAAAAAAACAGACTTTCATTTCAATATTTTTTTCAGTGACACTTACATTTGGATT